CAGATCACTTCTTCTCATTTTTGAGTGTGTTAACTGGTTTAGAATTGAACTTGTGTTTTTTTTTTTTGTTTGTTTTGCAGCCGAGAACCTGAAAACCACATTGTCATCCAAGACTTGTTCTCCGTCAGGTGACATCCAGGATTCTGACACAGACTCTGTGTTTCCTGTAAGCCCTGCTACACCTGTAGAGCCGACTTCAGAACCTTCCGAGGCCTCACCTGAAAACCCCGAGGCCAGCGAGCCTGAGGCTGTGGTGCTGCGGTCGACGGTTGACTCTCTGAAGACGGATGGTGACATTGACTTCAAGGTACATTCTGGTGCTTAAAATGTATTTAGCTCATAGCGATTCTTGTGCGATTTGATGATATAAATAGTGATTGTAAATTAAGTAGGTTTTTGAGTTAAATATTGATGCAGCTATAATGGTTTCTCCATTACTGTAGCTGTGACGGCGGTGTTGCAGAGGGATTACAGGTCGTTACAGTTTCCTACAGCCTGCATCCGAGCATCACCTCTCTCTGTGTCTTTACAGATGTGTGGCTCAAGATTGCCAACAGTTGTTTTAATAATTCAGCACAGTCTATTAGAATTACATTTTGGTCTTAATGTAATGAATCATTGATAAGCTCATAATAAAGGAAGTCCATTCAGATCCCAAAGGTATTGCGGCATTAAAAATGGATATGGAGACTTATTCCAATTACCATGCCACAGTCGTGCTGCTGTTTGCAACTTTTTGTGACCTGTGAGGTAAATTACTCCGATAAGAGAGAATCATTTTCTTTGCAACTTCCATGTGATAGTTTAAACGCTGCGGCAGAGGGCCGACAGCCTCAAGGGGGCGCAAATGCTGCATGAATGCAACTTCAGATTTACTTTCTATCATTCTCCAATGAGAGGAATGTATGTTGAGTTCCCTTGTGTGGGTAATTATTTAGCAATAAAATTATCAAATCTACATTTAATCATGCATTAAAAACACAGGAGAGGCACTGATGTTTGTTTTTTGTGTTATTTCTATTTGCAGGTTGCTCAAAGTGTCCAGAATCTGACTCAGTTGCTGTACAGCCTGCAGGTAAGAGCTTCACTTGACATCCAACCAGCTACTGTCCACCTGTAGTCAGACCCTCTTCTGTGTTAAGGGAACAAACAAACAAACCTGCTCTGTTTTCAGTATGAACACATACATGCTATACTCATTTGAGAAAAAGGCTTTAAGATGCCTGCACACATCAGGGAACCAGTGCTCTGCTCAGCTGTTTGAAGCCAAATGTAGTGATCCACAGGAGCTCATCCTACTGATCTTTTTGTGCTCAGAGACAGAGGAGGGTGTTTTGTTTCCCTCTACACACACTGCTCTTTGGTATAAAATGTAAATTTTTGTAGTGTGCATATTTGCATCCAGCATGTATGTGTGCGCTCCTGTCTGTTTGTGTAGGTTTGAGGTTTTGATCACAGTGTGATTTTCATATTCAAAGTTTCGTGTCCCTTCTTATGCGTGAACCTGAAAACCGCAGCTCCACCAGCTGCAGTGGGATCCTTTAATCATGCAAGAATACGTTGTTGTCTTAACACATAAAAAAAAATCGGGGTCACCAATTGAGCCCGATCATGATTTCCGTCATGTTTTGCCATTCAAATCGCCTGCTGTGAGGATGCACATGTGGTGAGAAAGGTGGTTGAACCTTTGCATTTCCCCTCTCCTGTGCCAGGCGGCGGTGACCATCCAGGACAGCTGGTATGAGGTCCAGAAGCTCCTCCTCCAGGAGAGTGGGCGCCCGTCGCCCCGCGCCCAGCGCCTGCACCTCTCGAGCATCCGGGGCAACACCCTACAGGAACAGGAAAAGCAACGGAACCTGGAGAAGCGGAAGGAGGAGGTGGCGGCGGCTCAGCGGCTCCAGGACCGACTGCGCCAAGACAAGGAGCGGTGGGAGCGGGAGTGCCAGGCCAGAGAGAGCCAGCAGGAGGAGCAGGAGAGCAGGCTGGAGGAAAGGGAGAAGCAGTGCCAGTTGGCGGCGGAGAAGCTGAGGCGGGAGAGGGAAGAGCTGGATGAACAACTGGAGGAGTACCAGCAGAGCCTGGAGCGGCTCAGGGAGGGTCAGAGGAGCGTGGAGAGGGAGCGCGAGCGTCTGGAAAGCCAGCAAAAGCTGTTCCAGACCTGGAAGCACGGACGGCAGAGCAGCCTGCCCGTGGTGATCCCTCACATGGTCATCCCTCTAGACGGGCAGCAGGTAGGCAGGAGGAGGAACACAAGTGATAACTGTTTCTTCAGCCAGCAGATTTTAAAATAACTTCTGGTGTTGAATCAGAGGCAGTAACCGAGGGCTCAGTAATTACTAAAGCTCTTGACCCTGACAGGAGTGTACGGGAGATATTCAGTGTTTATGGAGTATTTCTCGGCCAAAATCATTAATGAGAAGCTTTTCTCAGACACCTATCAGCCTGACTTACGTTGGTTCGCTCATTTACACAGAGCAGCTCAATCCCCTCTTGATATACGACCCGCGATAATGAGAGCAATTTCAGCATCATTTGTCTTAGTGCTCCAGCAGCTCTACTCACCAATAAACATCTTCATGATTGATGATAATTAAACCGTTGCAAATAAAGGCTCCGACAAAATAATTAAAACCAGAGGCATGCATCCCAAGAAACCAATCAATCGTGTCCAAAAGGACTTAAATTATTGACACTTTGTTTGAAAAGCACTACAGTGAAATGTCCTCCACAGCTGGAAGGCATGGAGGATAAAAGGTGCACTGTTCTCCGTGCCCTTTAAGTCCCAATGTAAATCACATGGAACAGCAGCGGTGGTGAAACCAATACAGCACATACATCTATGTGAGCCTCTGCCGGCCTACAGGTTTGTGCTGCTCAGTGCAGCAGGTGTGACTGTTCAAAAGACACAAGCAGAGCACCAGAATGGACAGACAAATGAGCAGACTCAGGTTACAATATTCCCTCTCTCCCTCATTAATTTGTACACCACCTTGGGCTTTTTGCAGGCCAGACGTGATGAGGCTCTGCTGGCTTTTTGCTGGACTTATTTATTTCCATTCATCTATTTTAGTCAGTGTGGAGGCCTGCCTTAATAGCAGTGGTTTGACAAAAGCGTACAGAGGCAGCGGAGGTCCTAATGTTTCCCTGCTAATGTTTTAGCCAGAGGCAGCAGTTCACAGGGTCAGAGACGGATCGGATGACGTGCACACACACCTACACGAACACACACACACACACACGGGCTCTCAGGTCGTTTCTAATTAGCTGCGCTGCCTCCACTCAGCTGAGAAAAGGCCAGGTTGATGTGAAGATGGGACAGGAGGTGGGTGGTGGGAGAGAACAGGAGGAGGTTGGAGCTCTAAGCAACCTGCAGTGACACATTAAACCAAGTGGTCAGTTCGACAAAATGACTCTAAACATTTTTCCCACTCACCCATTTTGTTTGTTTATTTATTTAGGATTTGAAATATCCATCTTTGAGAGTTTTCTGTTTACACCACAGCCTGCATAAAAGAAGAGGTCTTAGCCACGATGATGTGACTCATATAGTTTGTAGACAACCGTTTTGATTGAGTCTGACATTGTGGCAGCTGCTGTATTGTTTGTTTGGAGCCAGAAGTGACCATATTTGGACAAGAGGGTGGAGCTGGGGAAAACCTGATAACATTATTTATACCCACCAAACACCTGGCTGCACTGTGCACAGTCACTGCTAACAAAGTGAGTTTCCATTATCAGGCATTGATGCCATGACATTACCTCATAGTCCATTGACTACACTGGCTACAAGGCCAGAAGGGTCATTTATTATTAGCAAAGCAAACAGTAAGTTATCAGCTGTGGCTAACACAAACTAGCTCACTTGGTCCATTAGGTACATTCACAAAGTTCACATTAACTGTGATGTTATTTGAGATGCTAAAAGCCAAAAGTACTTAATAAACAGCCAATTCCTTAGAGTGTGTTTTAGTACATCCAGATGACTTACGCACAACATTTTTAAGGCAACTTTCCATTAACTTTTAGAAAACTGAAAACACTCTCAAAAGGAAAACCTGGACAACACCCAAAAACACATTCATTGCTATTTCGATGTAAACCCTGCCACACTTGTGCATTGCTACACCTCTCTTCTGATTAACAAGTTGGTGTAGTAGCACCTGTCACTCATCAGTCATCGATTATCGATTGCCGTGCCCTAAAGCATACCCTGCTTTATTGTCTGTTTTATTCTTAATGGCGCTGTAATTTTCAAAATGAGCATCATGCCGGACTGAAGAACACTTGAAAGTAGTGACTGAGAACATAAAGTTAATATGAAAATGGGTACAGAGTTAGCAAATTAAGTAAGAAGTAGGGTCGCTTCATGTCAACTTCTATACTTTCTGCAACCAGTGGACCAGTGCTGGCCTTTAGAAATTAGAAATTTATTTCATAGTCACAGTAGAGAGAAACTCGAGAATCACATGTAGTGAAGATCCAGGTTGGTTAGGACTGGAACAAGAAACTGCTTGAAGGCATTTGCATCCATGTGGTGTACAATTCACCCATTCGGCTATCAGGTCGACCCAGGATTCTTAAGATACTTCCAAATTGGCTTTATTTTTCTGACCTGGAGGCTATGCTCATTTTTTATACAGTCTGTGCTTCATACCAATCCAGCAATTCATTTGTGGCACTCAAAGCTTTGAAAAATTGCATGTAGAAAAATTCTGCAGCAAAGTGTCTCCTTAGAAACAGCCTCTCCACTACTCAATTCACAGAGCACACTGTGAGCGGTTTTCATGGCTTTCCATCAAAGAAATCATCTCCATAAAACACTTGTCACTGTGAGGTCTTTATATTTTTCTTTTCTAATATCCATCCATCCATTATCTATACACCGCTTAATCCTCACGAGGGTCGTAGGGGGCTGGAGTCTATCCCAGCTGACTCAGGGTGAAGGCAGGGGACACCCTGGACAGGTCACCAGTCTATCACAGGGCTACACTTAGAGACAGACAACCAAGCACACTGACATTCACACCTACGGACAATTTAGAATCACCAATTAACCTCAACATGTTTTTGGACTGTGTGGGAGGAAGCCAGAGAACCCAGAGAGAACCCACAGGGAGTGTCCTCACCAGGATGTGAACCGGCGACCTTCTTGCTGCGAGACAACGGTGCTAACCACTGAGTCACCTTGCAGCCCCTTTTCTATTATATTCTGATTATATTTTTTAACATCACAAATTGAATTAAATTTACTTCCATGACACTGGGGTGGAGGCTGACACAAATGTCTCAAAACCACAACAAATAATGCTGAAATGACCCATGTATTTACTACATATAGGTTTGAAAATTCATTTTGTGTGAGTCTTCTTTGTGTTTTTATTCAACGGCAGTTATCGAGGCACAGATCTTTATTTTTAAAAAGACACTTGTGTAGCTTTTGTCAGCTATGTTATTAAATGTGTTTCCTGATCCCTCATGCAAATGCATGGATGCATTTCAAAGGTGCATTGTTGAAAGATTTCACAGGTGTGGACACCACCCAACCATAAACAACCATTTTTTCCCCCTAACTCTCATCCGGGCATGAACGTGAGCCTCTGCCGAATTTCTGTCCTCATTGTCATTTTTCAGCTCTGAATGTCACTCTGACATTTGCTCTTTCCCTCAGGACTCGGCACCGACTCAGTCCAGAGACCACGCCGGTAACGGCTCCGTGTTTGTGAACGAAGCTGCGTTCGCCAGCACCAGCATCAACAACCGGCACATCCACCACAAAAGAAACGACCCCAGTGCACACAACTGTCTGAACTCGCTGCTGGCCAGATCCAGCGGCAGACAGCCTCCTATGGTTAAGACTCCCCACGGCCAACACTCAGACTCCCAGGAATGGGTGCTGGAGACAGGGTACCTCTATGGCCCTGCAGGGAGGCTCGGGCTGCAGCACACAACCAGCGGTAAGAATCACCTCAAAGTGAGCTTTTTATTTTCTGTCACAGAGGAGAAGTTTTAAGTACAACCCCAAATCAAATGGCACCCAGGGGCTCGTAAAAACGGATATTTTCACTATCTCAGTCACCTGCTGTTCTAATACATGTGCAGAGCACCTTGTCTTGGTGTAAACTCACATTTAATCTGATGGTTATTTCATTAGGTGGTCGGTTCTGTGTATGTACGTATATCTTGTTTTTCCCAACAAATAACCAAAATTTTAATATATTTGATGCAAAATCATGAGATGCCCTTTAAAATAAGGCAGTGTCTACGTGTGACCCAGCATCACAGGTTTCACAAGCCACTGACTGACCTACATTTCTCAGGTGTCTCATTTGAATACATTTTCATGATGCAAACAGGTAAATCCTACTATCTTTAAGAGCAATAACAAAGATCTGATTGGATTTTGAAGCACTCAGTCACATGCATGGAGCACAATAACTAATAGTCACTACTAGTTATGTTTAATATGATGGATGTGTATCTCACTGCTAGCGGTGCAGTAGCATGCAGCTCATGTGGCTCTTGTGTTGGATGGCAGCGTGCTGTGTTATCGTACTGCCAACATAAATGAGAAATCTACTACCTGTGAGAATGTAAACAAACCCTCTGCTTGCACTGGTTTCACCCATGTATGCCAGAGCTGTACTGTACACACAAGCACACTGTGCTCTCAAGGCTGTATCCCTGGTGAGGCCTTGTCTGTCCTTCCACTCGACCACCGCCTCCCCCTCCTCCCCGCCGCCTCCCATCTGCACCAGCAGCAAGCCAGGGCCCTCGCCTGCCAAAGGAAAAGAAAATCAATGGTTTCTCTATCTATCGACTGGCAGGGCAGACAACAGCATGTGAATCACAGTTCACAGGCGATGGCTGACTGATTGGGACATCGATCTAAAAAAATCTTTACAAAACTCATTAGAGCATGACTTGTCATCGCATCGGGCAGAAGGGGGGAAGGTGCGAGCAGAGGAATGAGAGATGCAGACACGAATTAATCTGTGTTTCACTCGGGAGGTGTCAGCTACCTCCTCACGTTTGCCCATCCCCATTCGTAATAAATTAATGCACTCGCTCATTCTGAGATTCACAACAGACGGCGGAAAATTACAGTTTACATTCCACTTGTCCCTCAGCCCTTGTTATAACGGGGTCAGTGTTAACTGCAGCTGATGTAGAGCTGCTTGTATTGTTTACCAGCCACAGCAGGCAGCACAATCTCTTCCTCATTGATCAGCTTATTAACCTTTCCTCATTATTGAGCACACACACGCCCCAGTGAAAACTGAGTCACTTGTTAACAAGCCTGGGGTGGATTCTTGGCTGCGGTCTACAACGTGGGGTGCGTTCCAGCTGACATCTAACCACAATGCATTTCTCAGTGGGTCCCACAAGGCCCTGCGATGAAATAATCTTTGACAGTGAATAAAATTCTCAATCTTCACATCATTTCCTGCTCGATTTAAACCACTGCAAGGAGTCATTTTCCCATTTTATGTGCAATCTCGGATTTTAAGAGCTCTTGCGCGACCTTACACTGAATCACACGCTAGCTGGTATGTGGAGGAACCTGGTATCTCTTTTTTTCGTGCAAGAAGGAAAGGCTTCTCTTTCAAATGCAAATTCTCCATTGTGCTGTCAGTCACATGGATCAAAATATGATCTCATTTCTCATCCTCACCTGAGCATGTGAAGATTTCTTCTCATGCACACAAGACGCATACACACCCTTTTTAATTCAGTGGATTTCCATAATTTGTTCCTGCACAATGTAATCTTGAGGAACCAGTTGGATGGAATTTTCTGAAATGACGTTTCATCTGATGAGTCGTATCGGGTTTTTGTTGCTCACCTTTTCATACAAAGGATGAGAGCATTGTGAGTAGGTCGAGGAAGAAAGGAGAGACGAAACTGGCGCACTTTACAGTGTCCAGCTGAATTTAAACCTTGTATAATATGCAGCATGGCGTGAAAACCTGCTTTGTGACTTTGCAACAATGAATCAGGCTTTACAAATGGCTACATGGTACTAATTATTATTTTGCGTCAGCTGTGAGAAAAAAAATTGTTGTCTCACCATCATTGCAGGAAATGTGTCTGTGTCTTGTGAGCTAGCATTTAATTGACAATAAAAAATATTAACACAACTCACAAGTTAAGATCATGTCCAAAAGATGTGCAACCTAATGAAATCTTCTACAGTACATGGAGACATTTTATTGCATATATGCATTGTTAATTATATTAATTTGGACAGAACAAACATTTAGTTTGAGGCGTTCCAGAGATATTAAACACACATAATATCATTTAGCTATTCATTTCCTAACAAGAAGTAATATGTCAGTGGTTTTCTTGCATATGACACCTTGCCTGAGAAGTTCAGTTTGTTGTCAGCATAAGGATCGAGATATTTCAAATGGTTTGTGGCAAACTGAATGACTGCCTCAAGTCACTGTACTTACATCTTTGGTGTTTTTTTAGATGCTAGTAGACATGTTATGAGTGAAGTAAACAGTCAGTGCTGTAGCTGAGTAATTCCACTCTGAAACTGCAGTGCACCAATGATCATTTAGAAAGCACAGATTCAGACTTCTTGAGTTTCACGTGTAATAAAGTTCAGGACCAGTTCTGAGAACTTGCAAGGTGGAGCTTTCCATATGATTACTCCTCTTCAGACATGTGTTTTGGTTTGTACGTGTATAATTTAATTACTCCCACAGTACAACTTGCCATTGTTTAGTGTACAGTCGTTTTATGGTGCAGAGTCATAGGTGAGCTGGTGTGCTTGAGCTCGAGGAGGGGTGAGTGGAGGGAGAGGTGGGGACTTCATAGATCTGCACATTCAAAATAAACCAATGGTGTAGAGTTACATATGAGTCCATTTAAGAAAGGAAGGAATTATATTCATGGAACAAAACTTTTAAGTATTCAACTTGGACTTACAGAAAGGTGTTGCATCAGTGACCAGAGGGGCACTCTGACAGTCTGAAAACTATTGGAGTTGGAAAGAAGTGAGCTAGAAAACCCCCAAACCCTCAGCTGCCAAATTGGCAAGTTAAAAATGTAAGCAATTTAAAAAAGAGATATGTCTAGTTCTGCTGCATTCATTTCCATGCTGTTCTAAAATGTCCATCAGTGTCACAGAAGTGCAAAGCTACATCGCTGAAGTACTCTCTCTGCAGCTCCAGACTGATTACACAGTGAAAGAGACGTCAATAGACTGTATCTGCCTGATTTAAAATCACATAAAACTGTTTTATTGGCATTGATTAGCATGGAGCCAGATTTACACAGCTCTTCCAACATGGATCACAGTTCTTACAAAACGGTCCAACTAAAATCTTATCATCAGCATTTAAAAAACTTAACAATACTCTCCCATTGTTGCATTTTGCTGGCGCAGACAGAAAATAATAACCTCCTGTAATCACAGGAGTTATTTCACTCAGGATATTCTGCAGCCCAAACAAATTGGTATTAGTTCTGCTTTCTTTAAATAGCAAGCGTTTGCTGTCTGTGTTGTAGCATTATTAATGCTAAAATCGTATTACTTCACGGATAAAGCTCTAAGACAGAGATGGAGTGTTTTTATCGTCTGGCTGCACGCTGATGTCTCATCTATCAGAAGCCAGGCCTATATGGTGGCTAACAGAGCTACTCTAACAGACTCTTATATAATTAATCAAACAGAGACACTTTCCTACAGGGACACAATGAGGCAATTTATAGTTCATGCCATCTGTTACCATGACAGCACACCTGCCCTAATGCTAGACAGCAGCCACCATGCACACAAATGCAAGAATGCAAGCTCACCACAGACACTCAGCCGGATACCACCCGCAACAACACCGTCTCCTTCAGATCATTTAATTGAATAATATTGCTATTGATCCTTGAAGGGGGATGCCCCTTATTATGAGAACAGCGTACCACAAGCTGAAACCATATGTTTGCAAACTCAAGGGTTTCAATCCTTGTTAACATCTCGGTTGTTCATCATTTCTTATTTCTGCTCCCTCCTTTCCTCATCTCGTCTCATCAACCGTCAAGTGTGAGGAGGCAGGTGTCATTGAATCCTGACAATTGATGACGTTGGCAGAGATAATGATAAAAGTGACAGCCATAAGTGGGGGGTGGGTGGACTGATGGATAGCTGGAAAATCTTTTTGTTTTCATTTCCAGTCTGGTGCTGTGGTGCAGGAGGGAGCAGCCGGCTGGGCTGCAGCAGCTGGGGTTGATCTAAATGCTGTTAGTGATTAGATAAGTGGGCTAAACAATTAGACTGAGCTCATTAAACATGTGGCTGCATGTCCCATCCTGGTGATTGTTTATCAGTGGTTACTAAATGATGAAGTCTCTTTGGTTCATGTATTATCAGTGTCAGTAACTGCATTTCCTCTGCGTGAAATGCTAATGCTGTGTGTGTGTGTGTGTGTGTGTGTGTGTTTTTTTGTGCCCACTCAGATCACAGCTATAACGGGGGGAGCTGGTCGTCAACAGCAAGCGGAGCTGACCCGTATCCGGCGCTCCCGCATCCCGGTGACCCTCAGCTGGACCTCAGCGAGCTGGTTTCCTTGGAGACTGACAGTGGCGGGGAGGAGGGCAGGGAGGAAACCATTGTGTACCTCTGAACGTTGATAAATTTCAGACTCTTAAAAGCCAACCTGGTGAAAGATGAGACATTTATTGAACATCAGTGCTGGACTGGGCCGGCTTCAGAAGGCATTTCTGCTTTTTAGATTTCTCTTTGGTCTAGCTTTTTTGTATTTTTTTGTCGTAGAGAGTTACTGGAAACACGGAAAGAGAGAAACAGAGATTTAAAAAAAAAACACACACACTCTCTGTGTCACATATGTCATGCACCTTAGCTGGAGGCACCGCTGGGTGTTCAATGTCTCCTTTTCTATTTTCTTGGTGTGTGTGTGTGTGTGGTCATATATTGACTGTCTAGTCCCCTGCAGCCACAATTTCCCCCCTTTTTTGTTTCCTACTGTCTCTCCCTCGCTGCCTTTCTTCGGGTCCCACACATCTCGTCCCTCGAGCTCTATATTTATTAAGTTTGCCGCTGAGGGAGAAAAAACATATACTACATATCAGCGAAGCATCTGGCTGCATCTCTCTCGTGGGTGATTGTCTTGCCATGGAGTAAACTGCCCCCTTTCATTTATCAGACAGGTGCTGTTTATTTACAAGCCGAGCATAATGTGGAGAACATTAGAGTTGAAGGATGAGGAGCGACAGCGTCAGTTCCATGGTTTTCAGACTCGCTGCCTGTAGCCATAACTTCTGTCTTTTTTAAAAAAAATCTGAAGCATGTTTTTTTTTTTTTTAAAAGAAGTACGCACAGATATGGTTTTAAGAGAGACGTTGCAAGTTGTGCTAATGTGTCAGTTTTATCAAGTAGGAGAAATGTCAAACTTGAGAAAAAGAACATTTTCCTGCAGAATGTAAAATGAAGCTGTAGAGTCGGAGAATAAACATGAGAGAAATGTGCCGGCTAACATCGTTTTTAGCACTAAAGTCATGTTTTATTGTCGCTCTAAGAATGGTTAGTGTATCAATCATTCCACCACTCTGGTTTTGACTGAAATATCCTTTAAACTGGTGGATGGATTGACGTTAAAGTTTGTGAAGACATTTACGGTCCCCTAAGGATAAATCCTGTTTGACATTTGTGGTTTTGCCTGAAATGTCTTGACAATGATTGGATGGATCGTCATGACATTTGGTACAAACATTAATAATCCCCTCAGGATAAATTGTAATAAGTGTGGCGATCCGTCAACTTTTCATCTCGCGCCATGTTCAGGTCAAACATTTAAATTGTACTTTGGTTTGTGGACGAGTCCCTGCTAAGGCAGTTTCATTTCCATCAGCTTCGCCTCCACTTTGTGTTGAGTGCTGATTTGCTAAGACAACAAACAAGGTGAATATAGTACTTGATAAACATTACCATTTTAGCACTATCATTCGAACATTTTAGCATCCTGACACTTGCATTTAGCTTGAAGCACTACAGTGCTTAAAATACAGCCTCACTGAGCTGCTGGCATGTAGATAGTTATTTTCATTTTTTATTTGTTGTTGTTTTACTTCATAGAAAAAATCCCATCAAGCCTTACAGGGTGGAAAATGTTCTGAGAATATCAAAGTGCCCAGAACAATATAAAGTTGCGTTATGGATGCTGTTGTGTTTAATGCTGAACTCTTACACTTGAACATTAATGTAGCATATTTAAGCTACATATTATCTCTCATGAGCATTTTTCTGTAAAGAGATCCCTGTGCCAATGCTTTAGGTGTTTCGAACACTATTAAAGTTAAATTGGTTTAAGTGCTATTGTAATTTCCCAGTAGGACAGTAAAGCAGTGGCAGTATTCTGATGTGATTTGAGTACTGTGTATATACAATGTCTGTGCTTTTATTTATTTATTACAAAAGAGACTTAATGTTTTACTGTGCTTTGTGAAGGGTTGCATTGTACATAGACGCGTACCTGTATAAACAGATGAACAGGTGTGTTTTCTTGTTGTGAGCTCATGCGTTATATATATCCAGACATGGCTGTGTTGATAAAAATTACCTTTAATGAACTTGGAACAGTTGTGTGTTTTTTCTTTAGCTGCTTAAATGGGGTTTTGTGAAGCGGTTAATACAATCCCAACAGCAACTTGGGAGAAACCAAAACCACAAAGCTCAGCTTGGGTACAAAAATCACTTGAGTTTTATGTCCGTGGTCTCAATACGCAGTGTCTCCAACAGTGTAAACAGATGTGTGAGTGAGACGCCCGTTCAGTTGTCAGCGGTGACAGGTGGCAGGCCAGGTGCATGAATGTCAATGACTTCCTGTCTGACTGCACCCCTGAATTGCAATCATAAAAATCATATCAGTGTTGAATGAATGCAATATGTTGGGTTGTAACAAGCAACCCATTTCTGGAGAACATTTCTGAATATACGAAGGCTTTTATAGTTTTATAGATTCCTAACAATTAAACTGTGTGTGTCCAGGAAAGGCTAAAATTAAGCACCTTAACTGGAGCTTCCAGGCGTTGGCTGACAGCAGTAATGCACTTCTTATGCTCCACCTGTGTCTCTGTTGCCATGTCGACTTTAGGCAGAGGAGCAGATGCCTGACATCAACAGGGTCTCCTCTCTACCCCCGACATGCCCGACCTTATTATTTCACCGGAGTGCTGCATATCAACACCCACTCTATTCATTAGCAGCAGCTGTAGTCCCCAGTCTATTTAGTGGCTTATTAAATTTTGCTTTATGAAATGTACTTTTCAGGGAACTCCAGTATAATTCATAATTCTAATACTATGCATATTAATTAGCCTGAATTGAGTTTAAGAATTAAACTCAGGCTTGGTTAGATTGTATTCTCATTTAATCAGGCCCTCAGAAACCCCACTGTAATTAGGGTGAATGAGCTGTTCTAAATGTCATTTGAAGAGGTTGCATCTTTTCCATCTAACTTCTCTTTTATTTAAAATGTTTTGTGCTTCTGTCTTCATTGTGTGCCCCTACTGCACACACTGCCACAGCTCTGCCACGTATTCTAGCTCAAAAGCTTAAAAGCTTTAAATGTTTTGTTCATATTGAACGGCTTAGAAAAGTGATGATTTAATTCTAATGAATGAGTAGTTGTAAGAAGTGGAGTTGACCTGGACGGCATTATATGAACATTATATCAATATAATAATCTTATTTCTTCATGTTTGTTAATGGAGTGGACAAATAAGAAACAACATAATCTCGTGCACAAAAATGGAGTTAACAGTGCCAGTGACCACAGAACATGATTACATTTGTAAAGTTAAAACATATATACATTACATACAGATGAGTTGTTGTATTAGTTTCTAGTAAAATCGAATACAACACAGTTTAATGTATTTCTTTTAGAGAAGACTATGTAGTGTTTTGGGGGGTTTTTTTCTCCTTTTTTTTTTTTTTTTTTTTACAAAATTGACTTTAAAAAAGAAGGTTTTTAGTTAGTTAGAGAAGTCTAAAAGCATTGAGACATACTTGGTTTTAGTCATTTTCTAAAATTTGTTGACAGTAACAGAAATTGCACAATCAAAGATAGTGAGAATTAAAGGGAAGAGTTATCTATGAATTTAATTTGGTATAACAGGATACTTTAATGGTGTTTTTCCAGGCCTAGATAGCAATCACTGGCCTCCAGATTATTCAAATTATTGCTGATGTTAAAAAATGTCTAAAAAAGTAAGTTTGTCCATTTTTTTTTTAGTTTTGTTTTTAACTAAACATTTATATAATTCAGATGTTGTGCCAAAAAGTGACTGTCTGCCAGGAACTGATTGCGTGCTTCTTAAATGAATGCTTCTAAATAAAAAAATGTTTGCAGTTTATAGCAGGCAGTTTATAGTATTGTAGTATATTATAATCAAGTATGACATTTAGGATGATTATAGGCAAGGCTGTAGTCTTGCCTGTATGTGTTTACACTGGACATGACTAACAGATGGGATTTATATATAAAATAAAGAAAACATCTCTTTTGCACTGATCCTGCAAACTTTTACATTTAAATTAAAGCCGTATAAACCTCATGAGGGCAGTGGAAGATTAACAAAACGTCTAAAAGTGTGCCTTAAATTGTCCTGGCTGCAGTACACATGCGCAAAGTCCTTGAGTCAATATTTTAAAATTGTTGTACAAGAATGAAACCTGCCATGTGCATTACTTATAGACCGTCCATTTAGAAAGAAAATAATAATAATACTAAAAGAAAAAAACCTGGAAAGTCATATACAGCCATAATTCTTCTGCTATTTGGTTTCATCTGCCGCGATAATTACGTTTGTTGGCAGAAATGATCATTTCTTTAAAGAGGAGAACAACTGCACGTACCAAGAACGAAGCGGTTTATCTTCCACAGCAGGTAACTACGTTTTAAACTCTTTATAAGAAGCCTGTTTATATTCAGTCAATGGTTAAAGCTAGCTAACTTCTAGTTTGCCAGTGCTTCTTTGCTGCCTCCATGTTCTTTCTATCAGATTTTCATCATCTGGAATATCTCCTTGAGAAGATTGTACGTAAAAAACACAGCAGGAGTCATCGAGACAACATCGAGACAACGTGGCAAAAGAGCTTTGGCAAACCTGGCTGGTCTGGTTCGCAAACATGGCTCCCACAATTAGCAGCATACAACAACAACAACAACAGCAAGAGAACAGGTATGTTGGATTATTATGTGTACAGAGTTTTTTTTACTGCAGATCTTTTGGCTTGTCCCAGTATGCAAAACACAGGTTCATTAGTGACACATGCATTCCACTCAAGGGAAGTCCTGCTTTTGTGAATGCTGCTTCACTGTCATGCTTTTTTGTACAGTTAACAGAGCCGGGGCGTTGTTTGGATCTTCAAACCCGCAAATCTTTAGATTTTAACGTCACAATTGCATGTTTTCCAATTTATTTCAGAATAAAATTAATATTAAATGTTAGACACTGTGCTCTGGGCAATGAAGGTCACCAAACTGTCTCTCTATGCCCTGCCCATGGTCCACATTAATACAACAGAGAATGCAGGCCAGTTTCTCAAACAGTGTGCCTTAGAATTAGTCTTAATTATAGGATTTACAGCAATTATCATGTGTAAAGGTGTGCCCTTGTGAGAGAAACATGTGACAACCACTGAGCTAAACCAAGGTTGCCAACTTTTAGCCACCAGCTGGAGTTAGACAGGCATATCCTCTAGGTTACTAATTCTCATTTTAATTTTATTTCTTAACTTTATTCAATAGTAATTTGGGTGATGACGCATTTTAATAGTCAAGGAGAATAGATGCCGGTGCTGGTGAGAAGAAAAGGTGCATTGTTAAAGCCCTAATAAATATTAATACTCAGAGCAAGTCTGTTGCCTAGAGGCCATAAATAAAACTTAGTGTTGCACCGAGCAGTGTTTTTGATCCACAGATTGACTTCACTAAAGCTTTAGAAAATATGAGTTGAGTTCCTTCCTGAAAACTGGGTGTCATCTTGGAGACTTTTTTTCACCAAGCAGACTTTAATGTGAAGGTGTTTTTAAAAAAATCTTTCTGGTCTTATCTGTTTCCCTTTTAACCCTATTTTTAATTTGATTTGATTTTTAACTTCCCCCCTTAGTGTTAACACATGCATCACATTTATGATCATGACTTTTATTTACAGTTTGTTTTAGAGTACTCAGAAAAACATTTCTCTGCTGCTGTACTGAGCAAGTGTGAGATTTGATCATTTTCTAAAAATACGATAACAGAATAAACGCCTGTTGAGATCCGGGGCTGCTCATTCATAAAACATTCCGTGCTGTAGCCTCGGATGCCCAGTCCTCATGACTCCACTGTAACAGAGACGTCTTTATTCCCATTTCTCCTGTTCCTCCTGTGAAACATGTTTGTTAATCTGTGTGAGGGAATGGGACATTATGCTGGATATTTCGCATCTGTCCAGATGTATTTATATACCCTAAATGGCCACTGCTCATAACTACTTGTTTTTTTATTCTTCGTTTTTTAAAAGGATTGATTTTTGAGTTTGAGTGCTGTTTTTCCAGATCTATTAATAAGTTGCTCAGTGTTTTAGGACCAGAACACATTGGATACTCTCAACACTGATATTCTCTGGTGTTACAAACCCTCCAGGCCTTTGGGGTTACATGGGAATGCTTTGCTTGCAAGTTTTAAAACAAAATATAGTGAAGCAGGCTTTAGTTTCTCTGCACCACAAAGCTGGAACAAGTTACTGCGAGATCCAAGGTCTTCTCCAAATCTGATCTCCTCTAAATCAATATTTTTCTATTTACCACTGTTTTATTAGATGCGGGGCTATTTTTGCAATGAAACCACACCATTAATTTAATTCCTTTAGGATAATATATATTTAATATTTTATACAATTTCAATAATTAAGTTTGTTTTATAAATCTTTAATGCATTTTATTTCCTCATATAACCCTTTGAGTTGCCTTACTCTTCTCGCTCTGACCTTTAGTGGAAAGCATGTGGAGACCCATATTTGATTCTCTTTTTTCTTCTGCCAACCCGTCAAGGATCCATTATACTTATAACCTTTGCTGTTAAAATGCAGATTACCCTCACTTTCTTCTGGTCTGTTAGAGCTCGTAGCGAAATACCTCACCTAATCAGTTCTGAAACACTCTGCACGCTTCAGAGAGCAGTAGCGTTTTTCAATCATTTTATGGAGCGTATGCAGTATGTAGCTGCATATAATCCAGATGTTTTATGTGCTTGAGTTCTGGTTGAAGGAAACCTGAGCAGCTGTTTTAAGAGAGAACGTCTGCGCTTGTGTGCGTCAAAGAGAGAGATAGTAGAAAGGCGTGGAAAAAGACAGGAATGGTGCATTTTACCTGTTTTTGTAAGCATGACAGGAACATGTGTTGATGTACCTATACCAGCCTTTGTTGTGTTTGACAGGCGTCACTGCTCATACAGCCACATGTGGCTGTGCATTGATAGAAATGTCTGTCAGCCATCTGGCTATTCCCAGTTCCGCTGACAGTCTTGGATATTATTCCCTGATAAGATTACAGAGGCTTTTCATTTCCGGATAACTTCACAAAGTTAT